ACAACGTTCAAAATGAACATGTATGTAAACAAAAATTATTTGCACACGAAATGAACGTCCTTGTTCGTGCTGAGTCATAATGAGTTCCCACCAGACTGTTCCTTCCGTGGAGTTGAATTAAGTCTTTTCAAGAGAGTACCATTACACAGCAGTTTGTATGAAAGGCTAGTTTGTGTTCTGATTGTCGTATAGCAGAGTAGATTTTGAATTCTCTTCTAAACTGCTATAAACCTGACCATAAATTCACAGGGAATGAATTTGCTGATTACTGATTGACCATCACTTTAATTTAATCGAATGTTTCGTTGTAAACCGAATTTTGTTTGACTCAAATAGAAACGACACAGTATACTCTTGCTAGAAAGTATCACTGATAAATATCCTTCTCGAGATCTGAACTTGAAATTTGACGTGTAAGGCGATCACATTGATTATCATTTAATTCACCCTATTTTGAATGGGGACGATTCATCAATTATAAAATGTTTAAACATAATCCATAAAATCTTTGGTTCATATTCATCTATCTTTTAACCAAGGTATACATAGTTGTACTTATCATTTTAAGAACACAATATGCTATGTGAATTCGTTTCAAACACCCTTTCGCGTTATTTAAATAAAAGCGAAAACAACAATTTACTGACAACAAAACAACACTTCCTAAACAACAAACGTACCAACCAATAGGATAAGATCCTATGGAAATCAGAATCTAGTTGTCGATTACTTTTTCGACGAATTAGGTCAACTACTGATGTTTGTTTAATGAAACTTTACAATATTTGTAAGTTTATGAATTATGAACCGTGATTCTTTGTTGTTTTTGGAACCTTTGATCGATAAGTATCTTGCTATTGTGGGATGAGGTGTTTTGTTTTCATTAGTTAGTTGGCAGCATGCATCTAAGAGCTACTTTGACGTACGTATTTCGATCTCAATTTCAAGCATGTCATTTTTTTAGCCGATGTAATTTTTTTGTCTTAGAAAAAATTCATTAATTCGATGATAGCGAACATATGCTCATAATAGCTGATTGTCAGTATTTACTTACTCTATGTGAATCACACATGATCCATATTGATAAGTGGGTTTTAGAAATCTGTTTTGTTTTCACGTTAGTAGCACACGCAATACTAATTTCATATGATATTTTTCATCCGAATACCTTGTTTGAATTTGCTGTTTTGTTAATGCCAACATTCATCGACATGTGTCTTCACAATGAAACATGTGGCAAGTGTTGTTGTCCACGTTAACGTGTGCCCTAATTTTGTGTGTTTATGGTCCTAACAAGCTCCTCCCATTCCAAACAGTACTCAGACAGTTGGCTGCTTTTTTAGTCGAGGTTAGATGTAAATTTGTAATAAAACTCTATACTAGTCAAACGTACCTCTGATTCAATCACAATGCCCAACTGCAAACAGCAAAATCATCAGTTTTATCTTATAAACTTGGTAAGTCTTCGAAACGTTTGCTTATATTCCTAAGTATCACATTAAACTGTCATCATTTAATTGGTCTGGATTAAATCTTTCAGTCTACATTGATTATTGTTACACTAACACAAAAATCCCTGCTCAATTCTCCCAACCTACATGAAGCGATCTGTAGATCGTTACGAACATGATATAAAAAAGCCAAGTATGCGGGTAGAACACTCAAAGATGAGACCTGAGCCACCGAAGCGAACCAGTTCTCGTTTATCACGTGGGCTGGACAGTGGAGCATTGGTGCCCATTTCAGTACAGGACGAAAATGGTGTTATACAAACTCGTTACCCTGACTCACCGTCACCAGATGAAGTATATCAAGAAGACGAGGTACATACAGTAAGTCACTATGTCATATTCGTGTTTTTCCCTTTTTGTGTGTGGTAGAACTCTAATTCCGCTTGATTAGTTTTGTATTAAAGGACACCAACGTAGTCAGTTAGGATTGGAGGATGTCGTTAGTGCATGGATAGTTTTGTTGAATAAAACGTTTAGTTGCATGTTTTTCATTAAAATTCCATTACACTACTTTTATTGTAGCACACACACACTGCATGACCATTGCACAAAGCATGTTTTAGTAACCCACTCAGGTCGAACTGTTGTTTTTCGTATCCCTAATATTTTGGCCATTTTGTTTGTCATCACCCTGGGCAAATTTTTGATTTTTTTTCCACGTTTCAATATGGAGTAATCGTTATTCAGATTGCCACAGATGTTTGACAGTTGCATGTTTGGACACATTATACACGATATTTTAGTGTGTGATGAATGCATAGACTAACCCAGATGCTAAGAAGACACGATAACGAAGAGTTTCGATATTACGCCTCCTTATTGAAATAGTAGAAAAAGATAACATAACGGGATGGAGGGCAGACATTTGCACATAATTGAAGAGTTTATTCGCCGCTTTTTATTGAAGGAGCTATTTAAATATCATTTGGCATAACACAACTATCCGACTGCTTTGACTACGGTAAGCTTTAAACACTCCTCACAGTAAATACTCTTCTTTTGGCATTTTTCTATATCCTACAAACAAGGCGGAGTTGACATACTTAACCCTGCTTAACCCAAAACTGAATGTAGGTTTAGGAAAATGATTTCGGAAAGTCATCACTTTTAGAAAAAATTCGGTTCCAGCATCCTCTAGGTTTCATCAACAAAAAGACTGGGTTGATTCGGAAATCAACACAATCAGTGTTAAAACAGTGCTTATATTAGGATTTACTGGAAAATGTGAAAAAACGTTTAGAAAGTCTCCAATCGGGAATTGACGTTGAGTTGGATAAAGTTTTGGGAGACAGTTTCGCAAGTTGGTGAATGATGAAAATACTGAATATGTTGACTAGTTACCATCAAGAACGATCTAG